ATTTAACTCATCCGTGGACTTAGCTGTTTCTAAACATAAACATTGTATTGCTTAATTTGGCCAAACAATGAGTTGGCTTGGAGTAAACTAGCTCTAATCTGGTTTTATATCTTACTGTGATTCCAAGATTAATAAATATTTAAAGTATGCTTAGATCAGAACTATTGTGATTATTTTCAATAAGTTGTTCTGCAAAATTTTCATTTAATTAATTACTTTTATTTAATATTTAATATTATGTTGAGAGTAATTATAGTTGATTAATGAAGAAAAAATGAAAAATTTTCCAAAAAAATAAACAGTTAAAAGAAAGCAATGTAAAGTTGTTTTTTTAATTTACTTATTCTTTTGAGATAAAATCAATTTCGCAAAAATACGGTTTTTAAATTAAATTATAATTTTAATAAAAACAATTATTTTTTAAAAATATGTTATTAAATTATTTTAACAGATTAATTTTACGTTTTCAGTGAGAAAAATAAAACAATTCACTTGTAATAGGAACTTTAAACAAATTATTACTTTAAGAAGGAATACCAATGATTTGTGTATTGAATATTTTTTTTAAAAATTTTGTTTGTCTGTTGTTTTATTTTAAAATGGCCACTAAAACCGAAAAAATTATTTATAATTATATAAATAAAAACATCATAATAATGTGATCTTTATAAAATCTTAATATAGCACACAATGGACCCTGCAATCTTACATAACATGTTGTTTAATGTAAATGAAATAAAATTTCTAATAAAATATCAGTCTTTGTTAACAACTTTTTTTTTTTTTTTTATCAAGATCAAGGTTGTTTTGTAAAAGTCTAACTTTTATTTGTTTAAGTATTTAAATAAAATAATTTAAGTAGTTTGTGTTCTTGCCTAAGGCTTCAACTACAAGATTTTAATTTTTTTTCTCCTCATATTTGTGCAGAGAAGAGGACAAGAAATCAAGTTTTACTTAAATGGGCCAAAAAATTGTTATTATAAGCATATATGTGCATGACATAAGCCTAATATGAGATAATTTACAAGATCATTTATTTTAGAAAAAAATTCTATATCCTTTTTGATGATTATTATGTACTGAAATTAATTTTTTTTTAAGGGACTGAAACCTTTTTAACAGTCCCAATGGTACTTTTTCTTTAAAAAAAAACAAAAACATATATATAATAAAAGTTCTTTAGAACTTTTTAAATAATAATGTTCTGGGTTTTTTGTAAAAGTTTAAATTTTATTTATTTAAGTATTTGATAAAATGTTTCGTTAGATGAGAAGTAACTAATAATTGAGCTTATAATAAAGAAATAATTATCTAAAATTAATTGTTTAAATTTCATATTAATAATGCATTGCACAATTACAATTTTTAAAATTTATTTTAAAGCAAGTTAATCGCATTAATACAATTTTAGTTTTCCGTAAGAGTTCTTAAATATAAAAGTTCTATAATTGAAAATTTCATAAGAAAAAGTTCTGGTTCCGAAATAACAAAAAAATGATTTAAAAAAATTAATTTTATATTTTTACTGAAACTGATAAAATAAAAGTTAACTTTTCATTTAAAGTCCTATTTTAAAAAAATATAATATGATTAAATTAAATTGACTTTTTTGGAAAACTCAAAAGTACCTTGGCAGTCTTTTTAAAATGCTAAAAGGAAATGTAAGGACTGCTATTTGAATATAACTAGGCGTCAATAATAGTTGACAGTTGGGGAAAAAAGATATCTATGCAAAAAATTTGGATTTCAATAACATTTTGGCTAGACCTTGAATATAATGACTGTATATTTTTTAGATTATAATACATTTTGTTAAAAGTATCTTTTTCAAGTTTAGTAAAACGTTAATGTAATTCAGATAAGTGGAAAACTTTTACAAGTGTAGGAAACTTGTTGAAATGTTATTTTTAGCTTTAAAAAAAAGTTTTTTTCCTCTATTAAGTTCAGTTTTGATGTTTATCACGTTTATGATTGAAACTTTATTTATATACATTTACACTGCTATAGTGGAATGTGGCCAGGAAATTCAAAGATGTTTTCTTAGATTTTAGTTTTCCTCGTCCAATTATCTGATTATATATTTTTTCTAATAGCAGAAAATAAGAAGAATTAGAGAATACAAAAGTAAATTTCATAAGTTTTTAATAGAATAGGAACTGAATAAGAAGTTGTATACTTGTTCTTGTGAACATATTTAACCCTTATTAATTTTTTTTTTTGTTCAGCTTCGTTTCCAATTAATATTGTAAACAAGATTAAGTAAGCCTTGGAAAACATAGAACTCTTCTGTCTTTTGTTTCTTGGGACTAATTAATAATTCCTAGATGATAGCATGTGCATGTTGTTATTTCTATTAGCTTTATTATCTTCCTATTTATCTTTAAATTGTATATAGAAATTATGTTTAAATTTTCTCTTTTTCCTTTAATTTTATTTATTTTGCTTGCTCATAGTATTAATTCTCTTAATAGATCTCTTAACTTGAAATACCTTTTCTTTTCTGTTTTATAAAAAAACACTCTCATCTGAGCTAGCATGGTAGCATAAATGTTTTATTATGGGCAATAATGGCTAAGTAATTTATATTCTCTATATTTATCTCTTAAGAGATTAAATGCTAGTAAAGCCAGGCATGCAACGAGTAAAAATTCCAATTGGAAATTATATTTACTAAAAATTATTTTATTGTATTTTTATTTATTTATTTATTTTTTTGTAATATTTTCTTTTTCATCTATTTGTTATTAACTTTTTAAAGGGCTGTTTTAAGATATTGTTAAAACAAAATATCGATTTTTCAAGCTAATATTAATGTATTAAGTTATCTTTTACGAGAGGTGAATAGAAATAGTGTTGAACTACATTTTAAGGCTGTCAACTTCTTACCCTTCTTTATGAGAGTGAAAACTGGAGTCTCAGGTATGCATTTCTTTTCTGGTTCCAGAACATCACACTGTGAGGAACTCGGCTTTGAGAATGGCTTAACTTTACGTTAACTTTTAATTTATTTTTTTATATTAACTAGGTATGATTAAGGTTTTTTATTCCTACAATACATTGTATTCACACTTTTTTGTATTTTATAACGTTTCTGCCTATTCTATTTACCATTTTAAAATAATTTAATTTTTGATGTTTTATAGTCAAAATATCTTATAATATACCACTTTAAGTAGCCCATGTAAAAATTATTTGTCTTTGTTTTCTATTTATTAAAATTTACAACTGTATTCATAGTATAAGTAAATGTGAAGTAACAGTATGCAAAAAAAAAATTATAAGACTTGTTAAGAAATTGTCCATTGTTGGTACAATGAAAAAAATGCTGATATTTATTTACAGCTCGTAACCTATATTTATTTTAGTAACAGATTTTTTTATTTTTATTTTTTCTAATATTTTATATTTTTTGAAATGTTAATTCACTTGATTGGAAAATTTCATATCACTATTCCTTTATTTAGTTGCAAATTTTCTATCTCTATTTCTAATAAAGTTGTTTAAAATATATATATATATTTTATATTGTTTCATTGATTTATTTAATTTATAATTTTTATTAAAATAATTAAATAATTTTGTCTGGTTATGAGGATAATAATAACTATTTTCATTTTTTTTTTTCATCAAAACCAAATATCCATTCTTGTTTTATTATTGCTCTTCTGAAAAAAATTGAGAGATGTGATACAGTCAGTTAAATCTGACTAATTTAATGCCCATTAAAAAATTCTAGAAGAGGGATTAGTTTTTATGATATATCAGACTAATCATAAAAGTAAATTTAATCTTTTTTTTTTTTTTTTAAATCTACATCAATATTTCAATTATGGTGTAACTATATGTTTTAAAGTTGTATATTTTTTTAAAAAATTCAATACCTTACCATAATGTGTTTAAATGATTAAATAAAAAAAGTTTATTCTGGTTTAAATCTGATTTCTTCAGTAATTTCACTTTTGCTCCAGACTTTATAATCAATCAAAAACTTAATGCACTTCATCTGTAGGTTCAAAAAATGTATACACTTTTCTACTATTTCTAATTCAATTACTCATTATTTTTTATAATTATGATTTTTTATTTAAATTTTCTTGAGAAATCAAAGCAATAAAAATCCCATAATATTTTTGTTTATTCGCTAAAGCTATTGAGACATAATCAACAATTTGGGGCATTAATCCTTCTTCCTTAACTTATTCAGAATTTTTTTTTTTTAATCATCACAATAAAGATCAAAATTTGTCTAATTATATCGTTTCGGGTCCCTGAAATTTACAGGAAGTGTGCCAGCTTTGCATGCTCAATTATATGGGGTGAATACTACTGGTGAAAAAAAGGAAACTGACATAGAGGCAAGAAACAAATAGCCGACTAGCAATTTTACTGTTTCATGTGGGATATATTTGAAAATATGGAAAAGTAGATGAGCAAGATGTTCCACAGCAAGAGAGGCAGAGAAAATGAGGAGGCAAGAAAAAGTGGCTCCAATTTTATTTCTCTATGTACCACAGATTTTTATTTACACAATAGTTTTTAGAAAAATATTAGTTCTGAAGATTGTGATTAATGCCACAAAATGTAAACTATGACTCAATAAATCACTTTTATGACAAACAAGAACTTATTTTCATATTTGAAATAATTCAAATTCAGGTTTTAAATATAATAACTGAAGCAGTAGGTACAATCTTTTATTTTTCTTTCGTTTATATTCGTATTCTGGACTTCAGATACTTTTTGGAAGTTTTCAAGACATTGGTAAAATCTAAACCGGCTGGATTTGAACAAGGAAATCGAGCTCTCTTCTCTCAATACAATCTATTGTATAATGAAACTCTTCCCTTGAATGATAACTATTATACCTGTGATCCTTCAAATACTAAGTCTATATACAATTTCCATATTTTGACATTTATTATGTCACTATTAGTTTGTATTATAATTTTTCACAAATAAAACACATAAGTAACAAAAAGAGTTTTGTAATATCTGATGGAGAGGGAACATTTATTTTTTAACTAAATTCTCAACTAACTACATATAGATTATACAGTAGTCTCAGAACATGGATTATTTCTTCGACTTATATTATAAAGAACAAGTCTAATATAGTTTTATTAATATTTCAATAAATAATAAATAAAAAATAAAGAACTAAAGTGTTCTCTGTAAAATAATCAGTCTTTAAAAAATGACAGCCAAATGAAAGAGACAACCCTCTTTCAAGAGAGGTCTTGACTAGAATGAACTTTCCAAAATTCAAAATAATAGATCTTAAAAACTTTTAATAAAATAATATAAAATAAAAATTAATAAAGGAAAGCCATTATTCAACAAATTAAATTGAAAGTGAGCCTATTAAGTAACGCCAAGTTGTAGATGTTAGTTGTCTAAGGACAAATGAGAGCTGGGGAATTGAGTGCTTCTTCGGTGGCTTGGCTGATCCCTACAGTCACTGCATTGTCGAACTCACCGCTCGACACCAACCTGATCGTAGCGATACCGCACAGCACTGTCTCCACTAGGTGTCCTGCAAATATAGAGATAGATAAATAACTTTATTCTGGGACAATATGTCTTTTAATAATAACGGTATAATAAAGGCAAATAGTCAAGTTTATTCAAATTAAAAATATTGTCAATCTATCAACATATGACAACATTTCAGACCATATTCGTATTTTTCAAGTCCATAAAAACATATCTGTAACTCCATAAGTTTATTGTTTTTTTTTATTGGTTTCTTGTAAGCAAAAGACAGAGGAACAGTCATATAAGAAACAGAAATTATATAAAAAATCTGGTGCGCGCAACTCACAACTTTCACTTACCGATCTACTTTGAATAGAAATTATTTTCTGGCAATGCTGGGCTATTATAAAATTTTTTGAAGTGCATTTTTAGCGGAGCTAAAGCTTAAAGCTTACAGATAACAAGTCATTAAGACCATTATAATTACAAAATGTCTATTTAATATATCGACGACAGGCAATAAAAATCTAGTCACTCCATCTGCTTTTATAAACCACACAACTTTCTTTGCTTTTATAAAACCACAGAAACACAGGTTTTTCTGAATTTTTATTTTTTTTCTCCTTTATTAACTTATCAAATTCTTTCAAAAGTTATAAGTAGCATTTTTTCGTAAATCTGAATAATGCAAAATGGTTAACTTTTTAAAATAAACCATATTAAAGGTACTTTAGAGGAAGACATATATGAACATTGGGCATTTAAGCCCTGTAAAGTGACATCAATGGGGATAAGAACTAAATGATATTAAAGACCACTTAATTATACAATGATACACCAAGTTTAATCAAAATCGTTAAAGCCCTTTTGAGAAAATTGTAAACATGTGTTTCAGCGTTCATATAAAGTGGCACTTACGGTTAGCCGATTTTAACGAAAAAGTTGCTGTCCCATCCGGCCCATATACAAACCTTAAATACTTAATATCAGTTTTGTACTACTTTTTGTTTATGAGCTAGACTGTTAACCCACACACAGACCATTTTGCGACACTTGGTTATTTGAACTCAGAGGACCTCAAAACATGTATTTCCGTTGAAAACTGAGATTCAAACATTTTCACGATCGAAATACTTACCCATACTATATATTACATATATACGTAAGTGAAAGTAAAATGAAATAAACTTATCGAATAAGTTGTCAATCTAATTTGCTTTACTGAGGAATAATTTTTTTTCTCATTTATTTATTGAAATTTACAACTGTATTAAATAAATACAACCAGTATATATGCACAGATCAGAAATAATGACAAGAACAGACTTGTCGAGATACTACCCAGTGGTAGCACTGCTTAAATAATTATAGGTAAGAAGATTACGAGGCCACCTTATTTTCAGAGGCCTAGGAGGATTGTCAGGAATCGAGGAAGTAGCAAGGCTGAAAACAAGTGGATTAGGATAGGGCTGGCGTTAATCATGAAAAGATAACAGATATGACATTGAATTGATTTAAAATCAATTCAGTGTCACATATTCTCAGTTTTATTTTTGGTTCTAAAAATTATTCGATATGTTTATTTCTTTTTTATATAATTTCTCTTTCTTATATGACTGTTCCTCTGTCTTCTGCTTACAAGAAACCAATAAAAAAAATAATAATAAAATAACTTACGGAGTTACAGATATGTTTTTATGGACTTGAAAAATATGAATATTGCCTGAAATGTTGTCATATGTTGATATGAATTAAAATGCAATAAAATAATTTGAACTAAAAGGGTTTAAAATAATCTTGAGTAAAGTAAATTAGATTGACAATTAATATACCTTTTTGAAATAAAATATCAAGAATTTTATGAGAAAGATTGGTCGTAAATTCCATGTTAATCTTGAGTGAGAAATTATCAGCTTATTCTACTAGACAGAAGAAGCTTTTACAACTATTTACTTTACCTTAATCTTTAAATATTATTTACATAAAATTATATTAATATTACCTTTATAAGATCCGCCCCGTATTTGTTGATACCGACTAATTTCAAATATACGAAACTATTAATGCAGATCCGACTCTCGGGAAAATATATGATCAAGATTTCTATTAATAATAAAATTGTAAAAATTACTCCACAACTTGAGTGCAAAAATGCAACACTTCATCATATATTATTTAAATGCCCAATTTAAAGTAGTTTAAGGTTAAGAATTTACCATGGTATGGAAAATCATATTTTTTTGTCTCAATTATATCAAATTATAGAGAATTTGTAGGGTAATCTTGAATATTGTCCAGCGCATATTATGGCAAAAATTCCATATTGTACGTCGGCATGTAATCTGTCCGGGAATTTTTTTTTGTTTGTTCTCTTAGGTATAGGAGTAATCTTTTAAGTTAGTTTTAAAACATAGTTTAGTATTAATATTTTTAAAAAACGTGTATTTATTGTTTTTAATGTTTTATGTGTATTCATTTATGTATATTGTTGACAATTGTATATTTTATATTAATTTGATAATTGGAACTATTTTAAATGTCTGATTTTTACCGAATATGATTTTTAATTTATGCCTAAGAATGTTGTAATATCTGTTATGTAGTATAAAAATGAATTTGTGTTTCCATAAGGATAATAATGTTTGTTATTTTGTGATAGACTCCATTCGTATAGGGTTCTTCCCTTAAAACAAATAAAGATTGATTGATTGATTAATATTAGTTTTATTAAAATATTTAAACATAAATATTATGTTGGTTCCATATAGAAGAATATGCCTAATATTTCTTTTTCAAAAACCAAATAAAGTTATTTTATTTTATTTTTTTAAATTTATTTTAAATGATATTTACAACTGTATACAAAAAATACATCTAGTAAATTTGCACATTGGTATAAAGACATGGAACACATGTTGAGAAACTACCCATTGGTAGCACTCTAATTATATGTCTATATTAGAAGATCACGTGGCCATCTTCTTTTCAGATGCCTCGGAGGGTTATCAGGAATCGAATAGGAAGCAAGGTTAGAGACAAGAGGGTTGGGATGGGTATGAAGTTTATTATGGAAGGACAGATATCTGGATTGGGCCAAATCTGATACATAAGGAACATTAAGGTCATTATGGATAATTTTATTTGTAACAAAGTAAGGAGCATTGAGGATTTTACGAAGGATTTTGGATTGCAAGGACTGTATGCGAGAGGAATTTGAAGGCTTGGTGGAGCCCCATAGCTCAACCCCGTAAGTCCAAATAGGCCTTATTATAGTCATGTAAATCAGTCTTTTATAATTGATTTGAAGGTTAGAGCGTTTGTCTAGTAAGTGTTGAAGTAGTCGGAAACGTCGAGCGGTTTCTTGTCGTTTCAGTCTGGTATGAGGATTCCAAGTTAGACGTTTGTCCAGATGGAGTCCTAGGTAACGGATTTGTTCAACAGGAATAAGTGAGGTGTTGTTAAAAGATACTGAAGGACAGGAAGTCATTGGTTTACGACGAAGGGTGAAGGTAATTTGATGGGATTTATTGGAATTTATTTTAATTCTCCAGTTCTGACACCATTCTTCAAGATTTGTGATGTGGGATTGAAGGGTTTGGGATGCAATAGATGGGTCGTTATTGACTGATAGGATACATGTGTCATCAGCATATGTGGTGATGACAGTTAAAGTTATTTAAAAACAGAAAATATCACATTTCAGAAAATCCTTTACATTTGATTCATCAAATCGTTTTATTCTTCGGCATCAAACTTAATTTTGCATATTGAAACTGTGACTGGCTCTGAAGAATAATTAAAGTTAGAAAATGAAATTTTCATTTTAGTATTAAAATATAATTAATAAAAGTTTTACTGTCCTATAAAGCAATTTTAAAGGTAGCCAATATTATTTTTTATAGACCAATATTTATAGTCTTAAAAGTTTTTAACTTTCCATTTACACTTCAAATTAAAACTTTACTAATCATGTCTGGTTTTAATAGATTTAATAAAATTTAAAATAAATTTATTAATTTTTATTTATTTCTTTTGTCATCATTAGACATAATCTATAGCTAAGATAAAGTCTGCCGTGTATACAAATTTTGAGATAACATATTGTTGATAAAACTATGTTATTGCTATGGCATCTTCTTGTAATATTAAAATGTCTCAAATAATGCGTTATTACAAGGTAATGCAGAACAAATAATTATGAATCTACATCTAATAGTTCCAATTAGGTGGCAATGAGTTTTAATACAATGTTTAAATCTTTGAACTCCATTTTTTCCAAAGAAATTTTTTGAGATTAACTTTTGAGATTGATCAACTGCTCAGTATTTTGAAATTTTTTAAAGTATATAAATCTAAAAAAAATAAATTTTTCTACAAAATAATGAAATGCTTTCTATCTTTCCTTTGTCTTATCTTTTAAATAATTCGATTAAAATAAAAGAAATCTTCGATTACCGTCTCATATATATATATAATATATATTTATATATATATATATATATATATATATATATATATATATATATATATATATAACAATAATTACTTTTAAAAGAGAATGAAAGAAACTAACTAGGTATATGGAATGGTATTTAAGTGATTCTTGAAGTCCTATTAAATGTAATTACACGGGCAATAATACTTTAAGGGATAATTTGTTAATATTTTTTCATAATACATGGTTATGTTTTATTATTTTTGGGGGGGGGGGGAGGTGGTGGATTTCAGCCCGAAAGCTCTCTCCTCCACCGTAGATCCGCCTGTGAGTGAGAGAATTGGATCTGTCCTTTTCATAAAGCCTACACTCTTAAATTATGAAGACAAAAAAAAATTTGTTAGACTTTTGATGAAATTTAGAGTTTGTCATTTTTCAATAAAGTAAATATTTTACAGTAATATTTGTTTTTTTATGTTCAATAAGAAATTGTACTAGGGTGAACACTACAGGTATGGACAGGAGGCATTATTTAATTATTAAGCCGATGTTTCGACCCACTTTGCAGATCTTCATCAGGGCTACAAAAGGTACAAAATATAAAAGGTACATGGTGAAAATGA